CAAATGCATAATCTTATCCTCCAAACTCATCTTCTACACTATTTGTATTCTTCTTTTCTATTTTTTTTCCTTTGTAGCAATTTCAAAAAAAAATTCATATTTTGCTACAAATAAAGCAAATTTTAACATTACTTCATTGGTTTGAATAGTTTCTCTTGTCTTGTTATAAGTAAAGTGTTGAATCTTTATTTTGAGACTCTTTTTCTTTCTTTTTAGTTACTTCATGGCTAAGTCTTGCTATCATATAGTCTATTGTGAGTTCTTTCATCTTAATAGATTCTAAAGCTACAATGAGGTAGTTGTAGGATTTCAACAAGCTCATAAATAGAGTTATCATAAAATCTACCTCTTCTAAAAGCTTGTTAATAATTGCAAGCTAATTTGTAAGTGTCTTTACATTGTTGATGTGTGCCATGAGGTCTTTAACTTCTTCCAGCTTACATATGAAGAACTTCTTTCTTGAGTAGATGATGTTGGATAAGTTCTTATACTTATAGATGTTAAAAAGAGTCTTTTATGTTTCTGCTCGTTCTTTATAAGAAATAATATGGGAGAAGTTGGCTTCATCAATAATGCATGCAATCAATACAAAGGCCTTCTTTTCACATCATTTATAGTCCTTCTTCTCCTTTGTATTAGCATTCATGTTTGGAGGCTCTTCACTTTCATCTATAATATTCCATAGGTCCAAAGAAGCCAACAAAAGCTCTATTTTAACCTTCCAATGGTAGAAATTTTTACCTTTAAACTTTTTAATTACTTTCAAGCCTTCACCTTCACTTAAAGCCATGCTTAAGGAAGAGATTTATCAAAAAAGATGAAGAGAAATTGTCATAAAGCTCTCAAAATCAGCAAGAAGATGTTGCTACTTTAAAATCTCAAAATATCTTCTTTGTAAATAAACTAGTGTTTTTACTCTCAAAGCACTCTCAACTTTACTTTTAGAACCTCTCATAAGTTCAATGATCAATATAAACGTCTCATATCAGATTTTTCACTCTTCTATCACTTTTGTGCTTACAAATCAGCTCTAGGTACCATAAGAGGCCTTTTAAGCAACTTAAGTTCTTTTAATACATGAAATTATAAGGTTAGTCCACCAAAGATCTTAATCAATAAGAAAATACAACACTAATATTCTATAACATCATCATAAGGTGCAAATCAAATCTTGAATCCAAGATGCACTTAACAACAAGTAAGAGCAAACAAAGATTTAGATTTAGATCTGAATCTAAAAGTTAGGAGTTTCAAAATCCTAACATCAGCGACAATAATATAATTTTCTGTACATAACAACAAAGACTTTATATATCTTCAAAAAAACTCATAAGGAAATATGAGTGGGTCCATAACCTATTAAAAAAAGAGAAGTTAGAAGCCACAATACTTAGCATCAACAAGGTTGCATACAAAAAGAAGTGTGAAGTAAGATGACTCTCACTTCCAACACTATTTACTTATAGCTAGAGTTTATATCAATTGTAAATAAACTTTATCTACAATCGTTTTTATCCTTCTTTCCTGTATTCAACTAAATCCTAGATTCTTCCTAACCTAGTTGTCACCTAAAAACCTAGTCACCACCATAATAATGTCTTTTAATCCTTTATTATCTTTTGACAATTAACAACTTACTATGGTTCAACTCTATGTGGTAGCGACTATGCAAGATCTTGCTAATCTTTAAGAATATATTCCATCTTTGAATGATTTTTTAGTCTTTTTGAGTGACATTAAAATGTATTGAGATTTTATTTTTTATTTTTTGAAATTCTTGTTCTTAACATTTAAAGATAAAGTGCATCATGAACATAGTTGTAAAGGAGCATTTTTTTTTTATGATGATTGGCTTTGTTTTGCATCTTTTATAACAACAAAATTTGATTGTAGAAATAGATACAATATGCCTTTGTGTTGTTAATTGTTAGCTCTCTACAAACAAAGTTATTATTTATTTCAAGAAATATCAATTTTGAGCTCCTTCTTTACATTTAATTGAAAGAGCCTGCAAATGCCCTGCTTTGTCTTTGGTGGATTTACTTGCTTACAATAGATACCTTTATGGGACTCAATATCAAGATATTTTATAAGATTTAAGGCTTCATAATTCTAATCTCGTAACTAGAAGTAGAGTTTGAAACTTTTTTTATTATTTTTATTGAAGATCTTTAAGCAATTGACCCCCTCATTGGCAAAATGTCTCAAGCTTAGATATAACAACACATGTCATCAACAATTGTTATGTTGTCTCTCTTATATATATATATATATATATATATATATATATATACATAAACTTGTTATTTGCCTTCCATCTTCAATAATATCAAAGAAATTAAGTACAATAATTTTCTACAAATATCGAGGCCAATATCTTGCAGCAAATTATTGTACTTAATTTCTTTGATATTATTGAAAATGTCTTATATGGCATGGTATTAGAAAACTTCAAGATCAAGCTATATACCAATTTTGAGTTGAAGTTAAAAATTGAAAAAGGAAAAATCACTACTTGAATATTTGTATCAACTTTCAAGTTGGTAGCCAAGTGACATCAATGCAATTTTTGGACTTTTTTCACAATCTATAAATTGAATTGGGTTGAATTTTTTTTTAGTATATAGAAGGCTTATAATGGAAATTATATATAAAAAAGAATTATCAAGTTGATGGACAGATTAGGAGTTATAGCTCGCCAAAGCTCACTAATTAGGATTAGGATTTGCAAAGAAAAATCAAAATTGCTTAATTATGAAAGTAATAAGGCAATTGGGGTTTTTATTTGATTGAGGTTATTAAAAAGAGTATTTTTAAGCACTTTGTATTGACTTTAAGTACTTTTGAATTAAAATTCGAATTGTATTCTTTTTATATGGATGAAATCTATTAAGATTTTTTGGATATTTGTAAAATACAACTTCACCTTCCACAATTAGGTGCCTAATGCATTTCCAAATAAGACAACATGTATTACAACAACGTGCACTGTGGAGTTTGACTTCTCTAACTTGAGATAGGCAAAAGATGATTATTGCAAGAATCTATTAGATTTTGGACTTGAAGGCACATTGCAAGCAAAGTAGTACATCCAAATCAAGGCACTTCTTGATTTTGAATTATCTTTTAGAGTGATCTGCATTCCCTTGAATAAACAAATATAACAATATCCATTTACTAATATTGTACCTTGCCTAAATTTACCTATGCTCTTATATATACTTTTTGAAGGTAATGGATGTTTCTAAAAAGTATAGATTCAAGAAATAACCTTGTGCATGCAATGCTTCAAGTCCAATGGCATCCTTTCTTTATAACACATATTATTGCTGACACTCAAAACTACCAATATATCACTTTTTTCAATAGAAATTTGGTCATTTTAGTAAATATTGACATAGTCATGGCAATCATTGGTGGCAATTTGTGGTTATTGGTAGTTATTCATGATATAAAAGGGTTGGAAACTTACATGCAGATTCTACTATAAAGATAGAATCTTAATGTGAATCTAGGATTGATTGGAGTTGTATTTTTTTTCTTATTTTTGTTTTATGGTTCTTTTGTTGGTCATCTGTAAAGATTTAGTGGTAGAGTTTCACCATCAAAGTCAAGGTTGCAAAGATTGAATGATTTTAGGTCCAACCTACCAATCCAATGAAATAATGAATTGAAACCAATTTCAAAGTTACTAGCAACTAGCAATGTTAAAAGCATTTTGAATAATGGAATAGTTATGAATTTTTGGATGCTCAAAAAAAATTTTAAAAAAAATAAAAATAAAAATAAAAATAAGAAAGTCCAAAAAGTGCCAAAATTAGGAAGAAAAAAATACAAATATGAATGAAAATATAAATATATATATTTTAGGGTTTTGTTAAAATAAAGAAAAAGAAAAAAATTAAGAAAGATATTTGATCTTTTTAAAATCCAAAACTGAAAACCTTAGTACAAGTACAGAAAGAAACATTTTTGTGTGTGCCGGTTCATTGATAAACATTGCAAAAGAAAGAAAATAAGATACAAAGTACATTTTTAAGGCAAATAAGGTACAAAGTATATTTCTAATAATAGTTTTTGGCCAAAATTGCATATTTATAAGAATATAAAATTTAAAGAAAATATTAAATTTTAAGATTTTACACAATATTAATTAGTTCTAAAATTTCACATTACATTATAATTGTGAGAATTAAATGAATTACCATTGATAAAAAAAATTATGATATTAAATTATTTTAGACATATAATGTTTATTCTAAGTATTGTAAGGCAAGACTTACTACCATCTAAATTATATATGATTATGAATTGCTTTAAAATTGTACCATGTATTATAAATATGCTAGAAAAAAATATTACCATTGTTGATATTACACATAACTTTAATTCAGATCAAAACTTAAACCATTCATTGCAACCATGGTAGATAAACAAATTAGTACCACCATATTTCTTTTCTTTTCTTTTCTTTTTTTCTTTTTTTTTTCAAAATTCCACCATTCTTCTCAATCTCTTTAAAAGCACTGCAATGCTTTCTAATTTTCGATGAACAATTAAATTACATACAATTTTATTTTCTAATGTAAACATAAGATATTTAACTAATTCTTAATTCCATCATTTCCATATCCTTAAATAAAAAAAAGTTTACTTTTTAAGAATTTTATATTATTTCTCTTATATTATACTACCAAAATATGTACCACTTGCTAGTACACAAGTTTGATACACTTACCAAAATATAATTCAGAAGAAGAATGAAAGTCTGTGTTTTAATGCTCCATTCTTATACCAAGACTTATATTATTAAATTTGACAACTAGATCTTCATAAGATTCCAAACCACTATTCCAACCCACTATCCCAAACTAAAAAAATGGTGACAAATAATAAACTTAAACAATACCTTTCACATCCTCAACGTCACTTAAATATCTAGTTGAAATGCATTTTCTTGAAAGAAAACCAACTACATATATGAAGTGCATCAAATTTAAATTCACTTATTGGTTCCCACCTTCCTTGGAACTTTATTCAAGACTAATTTCTCTAACTCTGACACCCCTTCAATTATACATGAGTCCAAGAAGATGTAAGCAATTGAAACAGCCCAGATTCGTCAGGAGAGTAAGAAGAAATACATTATCCTCTGAAGGACATACTGTCCGGTTGAGACTATTCTTTTGAGGAATATCAAAACCTATCACCATCAGAAAACAAGACAGACTCTGACATTTCTACAGCCCTGAACGAATGTGTTCACAATTCCTCTGCACACTACATGGACATGAGCCTCCTTGTGTGGTTAAAAGGCAGGACATGAAGGACTTCGCTTTATATCCTACAGCTTCAAAACCTGTGATCGGACAAAACCTACAACGCAAGGCAAGGGGTGTAAGAAGATTCATACGATCTGCTCACGATCACCCAACCATAGCCTATGGTCTGTTCCAACCCCATAGTAGCTCAGGTACCACTTCACAAATTTCCTGAGACCTGTGTCCAAATTCGTGGTTGGGTGGTAGTTTAGCTGGCTTTGCGCTGATGATGTGTTCGCGTGTGTGAAGGGGACATCTCCATTCCGAGGCATCTTTACGATATTCCTGATAGCTTTCTGTTTTAAGTGCTTCTCTAGAATATCAACCAAGATCGGTACTGTGACAGGAGAGGTATTGCCAAGATTGAAGACGCGCAGTTGGGCTGGACCGGTTTTTTTACCGCCACTGCCTGTGCTTTTCTCAGCTGTGTCCAAAGCACGCATACAGCCCTTGACAATGTCATCTATGTAAGTGAAGTCACGTGCTAGGTCTTTTCCACCACTGCCAGTGTAGATGTTAATAGCCTTTCCCCGTAGGATGTCTTGTGTGAAGGAGAAATAAGCCATATCCGGTCGTCCCCATGGTCCGTACACAGTGAAGAAACGGAGCCCTGTTATTGAAAGGCCGTAAATGTGGTTGTAAGTATGAGCTATTCCTTCACCAGCCTTCTTGGTCGCTGCATAGAGACTAGCAGGTTGATCGGTACGGTCACTTTCAGAAAATGGCACCTACATTCACAACGATGCCTTTAAGTAATACTTAGCTGAAAGGAACAGTAACTAGCTATAGAAACAAATAAAATTCGGGACAGATGCTTAAGTCTAACTTAATAGAGAAAATTCAGTGACCAGAGGAATTCTTCTCTCTAAAGTATATCCATTCCCTTACAAAGGATATCTAGGACTAGAGAAAAGATTGCAATTAATGGTTTTGGAGTATCATTATACTTTTAAATTTAACCTTTATGTATACCTTGTTATTCAAGCCGTACACTGAGCTCGATGATGCCCAAACAATTGCTGGCTGAGGATTTGCAGCTTTACAGACCTCGAAAAGATTCACAAGGCCAGCGATGTTGCTGTGTACATATGAGCGTGGATTCTGCACAGCGTACCGTACCCCTGCCTGGGCTGCAAGGTGCATAACATGGGTAATTTGGCCTACTTCAAAAAGTGACATCAGCAAAGTCTCGTCATTGATGTCCCCCTCGACAACAAATACGCCGTGTTTCTCGAGCAAATCTAGCCTGGCACGCTTCAAGGAAGTCTCATAGTAGTCGTTGAAGTTATCTAGACCAACCACTCCATCTCCCCTTTTCTTTAGCGACAAAGATACGTGAGTGCCAACAAATCCAGCGGCACCAGTGACTAGAACAACCATAACATCCTCTTCTAATCTTTTGGGCACGCATGACTGCCGCACCTTCAACTCCCACTCATGAGTTGGTTTGAAGGCTGCCACCGAACGACCGATAATGCCACCTTCAACAATCCCTCCAGATATACTGCTGATTCGGTACATCACAAAAAGAGTCAAAATAAGGAGGACAGCAGAGCATGCCAGGAGCCTCGCGGATGCTGTTGTGTGCCATCTCGACGCCACTCGCCCAAAATAATTACTTCTGTCAATTTTCATCTGCACATGACATTTTGAGATCATCTTGGTTAACTAAAACCGTAAATATAGCATTTAACTTCGTTGCTTTCATTTTTCTCTTCTCCTTTCTTTAATTTTTCATCCTTTGATCTGTTTCTATGGGTTGGGTGAGCGGTTGTAGCGGGTCAAGCCATGTTGTAGAATAAAGATATCGACATTGGAACTTGATTAAATCTAATGAATTTCTAACTTCGAGACAATACCTTTCGAGGAGTTGAAGTATAGCTGTCTTGCATGGTCGAAGGAGGCATTTTAAGCAAAGGACTCTGCAATGCCCTGGAAGGAGAGTCAAGTACATTCCAGGTTGTCACCCTTACTTCCTCCACCAGCTACCAAGAAGAGTCCTTAAGAATTTATACTGAGTGATACGACCGAAGGTTTTTTGTGACACTCCTTTGCGGATTAGATCGCTCGAAACTGCATCTACACCCACAACGAATCAAGACATTCATCGTTTTTCTTCAAGACTTCTTCCCAAATCTTCGACGATTACTACAAATTGGTGGCTACTCTATTGTTAGACCCCTACAATTCACGACTGCATGTTACTCTTCCTGATTTGGATGCAAGACTACGCCACTTCAAGCTAAGGCCTATGTTACCAGGACTGTTACTCTGTAATAAAGGTCATGCACGGGGAGTCCATGATTGATAGCCCGAAAAGAAGTTATGTTACTTACATCTTTGCAACATAGTCCGAGGTTATTTTACTGTTATTAACCATGCATTTCCATGTGATGGTAATTATTCTAGCGAGGAAATCCGCGCAAGGCACTCCGGAAGACCTGATGAGCTTCAAAATGACAGACCAAATGCAACCTCGACTAAAAGAGGGCTTCTTAGTGCTTAGAGGATTCAAGCACTGTTTAAGCATATAAAGACTGATACTAATCGAGAAAAAAAATCTTGACATAGTGATTTCAGAATCAAGAACTTGGTTTGGTGGAAAGTATCGCTATGAGCATCTCCTACCTAAAACGAAAATGAAGCTCAAAGTGCCATCCAGCAGTGACCTTTGGACGGTAGAATCAAACACTTCAAATATTTAAATTTATCAAAAACTCAGGCAAAGCAATTTCGGGTATACTCTAGATACGACATGGTTCATAGCTCTAGTAGACCACCTGCTTTGTACATGCTGATAGAATAAATTAAAGCTGAGCCAATAGATCTTCCTAGATTAAAAAAACAGGTTGGATATCAAAGGAAAAAAGTCTAAACAGCTCGTGACTTACTGGAAGGTCTTGTTCGCTTTTTATTCGTCCGTCCAAATCACAGATTTCAACTCTGTTCGGTCGAGCGCCACAAGTGTGAGGGCAAGTGCCTCTGCGCTCGGGTTGACAACAATCAACTCGAACGACCTTTCCTAGAACGTTCAAAAACGTTTCGACATCCTTCGCAATTACTAGAAAGAGTGCGCTCAGCCTCTTCCTGACTTCACCGCATCTCAGCCCTGCACTTCCACTAGCTCCGTCATCATGACAAACGAGTCGAGAACTGGAATCCCTTAGCTAGAGAAATTGCAGCAGCAGGGGAAGCAGAGCAGCAGCAGGGAGAATGTAGTAATTCGTTTCCACTTTCGTGTTCTGCCGACCTGCATCCAACCAGGAGGCTTCCGCAACAGCTCCTGAGTAACACGCTACAATCTCGTCTAAAATGTACTCCCTCCCCTCACACAAGTATATCTATACAACACCAGCAAAGTAAAAACTACCCTGCTATATTTAACTTCCGCCAACCGATTCTGCGAGATTTCGCCACCACAACACCGCCAGCCTGCTTACCTACAGTTCCAAGCCCTCGTAAGCAACGATCTCCGCTAGATGAGCAAGACACTGCACACTAGATGAATCAAAGGTCAGGCTTATGCATAGGAGCAGGGCTTGGAGCCGTTTTTATTCTTCTCGCTCTTCTTCTTCGTCTTCTTCGCAGGCACCTTCTATTTCTTTCCGGCATCTGCCGCGCTTCTGCGGCTATGCAGCGGGTCCTTGACGGCACGGACGTCCGTCAAGTCGAATGAGGCTTTGAGTTGACAGTGATTCTACTAATAACACATCGATATCTACTAAATCAGGACATTTGTGCATTGTAGCCTTTGTGTGTTCATTTGCTAGCCATCCCCTCACAAAATGTGATTGTATTTCTTCACTCCAGCTATACTAGGATGGTTTTATTACTTTTCATATGTTTATTTGTAACTTAGAAAGTATGATTTGAATGAATGTATTTTTTTAAAATTATTATTTAGTTTGTGGAGTTCTTTTGTGGTTTTTTTCAATATCAGATATATAAAAAGTAGTAATTGGATTGTAATTATTATTAACTTTTAATCAAAATTTAATAATTTTATTGAATATGGACAATAAACTAAAACATAGTAGATTAAAAATATCAAAATGATTTTTTAAAATAAATCATGCAAATTAATACGATTTATAAACTCAACACTTTTTAAATTAATCAAAATTTGCAAATCCTTTTTTTGAACTATAAGAAAGTCAATACAAATTAAAACTATTCTATTATATATATATATATATATATATATATATATATATATATAATTTAATAAGCTGTTTAGAAATTCATTTCTATTTATTTAAAATTTTAATCAATAATTTTTTTAAACAAAATATTATTTCATATTTTCGAAGTGTCTTTGGAAGAAAAAATTTATGAAAGCATTATTGGTTTTTTATTTTTACTTGGTCTTTGAAAGTTTATATTTGCTAAAGGAATTCTTAAAGTCAAATAAATTAAAGATAAATAAAAAATATCGAAGTAAATATATATATGAAAAAATATTAAAATATCCAATACATGTAGAATCTTTGCAGTGATATGTATAAAGTACATTAACTTGTTTTCTTTCAATCTTAAAACTCTAGACAGTAAAGAGCTTTGAATATTTAAAGAAACATATTTTAGAAGAAAGACTTCAATAGCTTTGCTTGGAAAGATTTAAGAAAAAATAATAAGTTTCAACAGGAGTTCCTAAAGACTTGTTTGCTTATCTTAGATTTGGTTTGAAAGGAAAAGACTATCGAGGACAATTAGATTTGTAATGTAGTGGTACTAGTTCACAGTCTTGGATATAAACAAATATATATATATATATATATATATATATATATATACAATTCTTGATAATTTTGAGGTTTCTTTATTAGATATATAATCAGTATTCGAAGTTTTTGTCTATTTCTTAAACATATTTTAAATTACAATATGTGTATATAGATTTTTTGTTATTTTATTTTATTTTATTTTAAATTAGAAAATAATAAATTTGATTAAATTCAAAAGTGCATTAATAATCATAATTTTATTTTTAAACGCTTAAAGCTTTGATTTGTATTTATGTATGTTTCATCAATAAGTTATCATTTGCACAAAACATGAAACAAAATTTAGCAAAATAGTTGTACAGGATCAGTAATAAATAGTAAGATTATCAAATTACTGATTTCTTCAGAGCCAATTTTACTGACGACAAAATTTCTCAGGTTTATCTACATAAAAAATACTAATAATTTTGATTATCCTAATTTTTATAAATTGGATATATTCTAGATCTCAAACACCAACAACTTACAACCAAACACGTTTGAAATGTTTTAGTGACAATTAACAAATGTTTCTGCAAATGGTTAGACATTTAACCAAATTTTTGTTGCTAGGTGGTTTTAACTAGATAATTTTTCATATTCATGGTAAACTCTTCAATTCATATTTGAGATTTCTTAATTAAATTACAGACACAGATGAAATTTATTTGTGTTTAACAGAGCACAACGTTAAAAATTACTAGCAGCTTTTAGAGTGCATTCAAATTTAAATTTTTTTATAAAAAAGTTAATAAGTTAATATATATATATATATATATATATTATTTCACTAATAAATACTAATAATTTTTTTGAATTAATTTTCAGAAGGGGACACAATGTTGTTGACATTAACTTTTACATATTTAAATAAAACTTCTATAACATGCAAATAATAACACAAAATTATAATAATTTACTAGTTTTAGCTAATGCAACATCTTATCTAAAACTTTGACGAAGAAAATTTATTTTATTTTATGACTTGTCACCCTTCTTGTATCTAAATATTTTTGCATGATTTTTATCATCTTTAATATATTATTCTCTATTACTTGATTATTTTTGCACAAAATTATCCATATACACTTGATAAGTTAATTTTTTTCTCAATAACAGGTGGAGACTAAAATCCAAACCTTCATATCTACAAAAAAAAATAAAAAATAAAAAAAATCTAATATATAAATTTACATTATAGAGATTGTGAGACCATCCGGTTCATAGCGCTAATTTGAGGTTCTAGTGTCGATCAAGTTTCTAGGTACTAGCGGTAGTTAGATTGCACCAGTGTTGAAGTACCTAGTAAAAGAACAGGGGTGTTTTTTTTTATACTGCTTGGTGGAGGTTTCTCTGAAAGCCTTGTCCTTGAGGCGCCATGGTTGTACCTGAAGGCCAAGTCATGCAGCCAGGGATAGCAGAAGTACGTCTGTTAATTGCTCCCCCACTCATTGAGTCTCCAACGATTCATACACAATCAAAGTGTGGGCTTATCCACAAACTGCCTGCGTTCCTCCCAATGCTGGTGGGTACAATATGGCCCACTTCACCCATGGGTGAGAATCGGGCCACGTTTTTTTATGGAAACTGAGCCCTGCATGGGAAAGCCTTGAAGGGGATTACTGGTGTACATGACTGGATGAACGACACCTACTTTGTAAACACACTGGTGAGGGATCGGGGTGAAATGGAAAATATTGGAAGAAACCTGGAGAAAATGAAAATAAAGCAATACCACAACTGGCTCGAACCTCCTTGCGCTTGTGATGATGCAGAATATGGTGATTGTAGTTATATCGGCAAATGTTATAAATGAACCCCTGGTTGATATTCTCTCCCATGACATGGAAACTACGCCAGTGTGGAGATGACTTGGAGATGGACATGTCGACGTGCTTGAACCAGCTGCCAATCCATCCCATGTTGGGTCCATTTCAGTGGCAGTCCGAGCTAAAATGTGGGCCAAGCCACAAGTGGGAGAACTGAGTGTTCGCACATGGTCTGTTCGATCCGACGATAACTCCATGGCTGATAGAATCGGGCCATTTGGATGTCACTCACACAACTCATTAATCGATTCACGGAATTCTTCACTCTACTTTGCAGAATGCAGAGCTTCTCAGTAGGTTGAGAATCCTAGAGGTTGATTATCCTCTTTTGCCGGCGAGGGTAGAGAAGCTTCTCGAACAAGTACTTACGTGATGGTTGTCATTTCCCTATTTCAGCGCAGTTATGGTGTGGTTATAAGGACAGACATTGACCCGCGACTGACAGCTGTTTTTAACTTCTCTGACAGTTTGTTTAGTACATGCCAGTCAGCATGTCTTGGAACTGGACTTTGTGTACTTTCAATCGACAAAGTACAACATCACCAGTCACACCACAGGATGGGAACCGCGACTATTGGGTTCCAGCAGGGGCACATGAGTGTCGAAACCCTCTATACTGGAAGTTTAACTGTAAGTTCTTCCCTGGCATGACACTACTCCTCAGTTGACTTGGTAGATTATGAAGTGTTAGTCTCTGCAAGCTTATGTGTAAAGAATTTGAAGGGATGCTCTGCACAAGTGGATGCGTTATGCTGACTGGCACGTACTGAACAAATGAAATCTACTCATTCCGCTACTTGGCTATGCCTGCAATTGGCGGGAGCACAGTTGACGCAAGAGAAGATCAAAAACGGAACCGATGAGTGATTGTTAGGTTTCGTGATAAAGGAGAGTTCTAAATCATTCATGGACATTGTGCTGAGACACACTCTGAACATGTTTGAAGTACAGCTTAGTACTAGTGTCGGCAAAATTGTAGTGAGCTTTGCAGTCGGCGGCAGAGACTGAACCTCCACATTAACTTCTGGTGGTTTTATTTGAAGGCACCTGCTCTCTGGAATCACAATGCGAACGGGAATGGACTGATTAAAAAACTGGCCTTATTGCTGCGAAATTGCTCATAACTGCAACTTATCGCAGGAGAAGCACTCATCTTATACGAGTAAGAAAGAAGAGAATTGAAACTGCCATGTACTATTCTACTTAGTACATACTCATTGCGGGGATATATCACTTTGCTGTCAAGTGCAGGGGAAACTATCTAGTTAAAAAAAACGTGGCTAGTGTGCAAGCATTCAGCAACTGCAGTGATGCTCAAACCTTCCGTTTAAAACTGTTCGATGTTTTGCGTGAAGTTGTAGTACAAGTAGTTCCAAACTGAGCAAGCGAACAATTTGCCGTCTGATAAACTTGGGCCTCTAGATCATGAAGCTTCCCGCAGCAATTGCAGGATTAAATTGGCACATTCAGTTGGAATCGTTAAATGGAGTGCAACTGGCACTGTTAAACCGATGCTGCAGGGCATGTCAGAGAGATGAGTATTTATTCAAAAATATGCAGAATCGCAGGCTTCATATCGGTGTCGGATTAAGTAATTTACATGATTTGATAAATTTCAGATTACAATTCCACACCAATACACCATGGACGAGAGTTACACTGTGAATCTAGGGCGATACCATTGTGAATCTTCGAGATACTTTTCGCCCGTTCAGAGAAGAGTCTCCGCACATTTCCACCTCTTATGCAGTTCGGGACACTTCTTTTCCTCCATTGGTTTAAGTGCGATCAGTGACTCATCATTCTCTTGAACAATATACACCTTGAGAACTCCAACGTATCCAATGCGAAGAGCAAGAATGAGGGTTAATAATTGGGTGAGGGGATCCAAGATGAGAAAGTTGCTTTCAGTTGCCAGCACTTCGAAAGGCAAAAGCGATAGTTCGCCGTCATAAAACTGGCTCGAGAACTCACAAGCTTCCAG